AGATCAACGCCGATATACACATCTACAGCACAATAAAACTAAAATTTAAAAAAGTACAATTAAGTGAAACCTCAACTATATGAGGGAACTACGCAGACTTATTTATGGCAAGGGAAAAGGAAGACGTTAGCAGAACGATACTGCCACCTCGTGGTATTTTATTGGTATTGACTTTATTTCGATTGCTCCAGCTCACACAGCACCCTAATGAAGACAAACACTCGAGAAAATGGGTGAATGTATAAATGAGGGGAAAAAAGGTAATGTTTACGTTGTACCTGAGAGATGACCAACTTAAAAGAAGACTTGAACTCCTGAATGTCAGCTGTTAAGCGATTCACCAGTTGTCCTGTTTTGTTAGCATCAAAGAACGCCACATCTTGCCTGAGAGACAAAAAGTATCTCAACGATGGGACAGGTGGTTTAAGTAAAAGGACACTTAGGAATAAACACCTCAGTAGCGACGCGAAAAGGGTTTTCCTCATGTCGGCCGCCACTCTTTCTCCGACCCTTGAGAGCAGGATGATGTAGCCGCTTGTTAACAAGCCCTGTCGTACATTTCCAGTTCTTAAAGCAATTACAGCAGTGTCATATATGGATCATTTGTTCAAAATGTTTACGTACTTGGATGCCGTACAGTCCAAGCAATTTAAAAGCGGGTCCTCTTATTTCACGGATATAATTCCCAGTGTGTTCTCTCAGGTAGCGTGCCACAACATTCACCAGCTCCCCCAGCATCAGAGGGATTTGAATGTTTAAAATGGCTGCACCAAAAGCCAGCTGAAAAGAAAACAATACAGTAAATTGATTATAACGCCATAAATGTTTCGTTCGATTTACGTGCACTGGCTTACCACGACAGCACATGTGAGTGCAAACAGCTGAGGCTTCACAAACTCCCACAGAATGTGCCATTTGAACTCTGGATTTTTGTTCACAGTCTCTACTGGGATGTTGTTGTTCACATCTGCTTTGCAGTACGCGGTGTGGCAAAACAGTCGCCCGGACACCGTAAGCACAGCTGGTGTGAAGATGAACCTCAGTATCATACCAGAGCGTTTGGATGCTTGCGTGGCTGACTGTCGCAGAGCTCTATGAGCCACGCTCCACAAGCGACTGACGACATTCCCATGTTGACGTGAGACGCACAAAACGTTGGATCCCGAAGATGAATGCAATCTGTATACAAAATGAAATGTTAGGGCCCCCAAAATAGCCATACATTGTCTATAGCAATTGTCCCATTAAACCGAGAAGCTGATTAGCAGCTACTAATGAAATAATAATTATTTATACCGTAGATCACCACGTATATACAAAACTACAACATAATAAAATAATTTTTACAAGTACAATTAAGTGAAACCTCAACCATATACTAATTCTTCAGTGATTATTATTCTATTAGTAGTTCATAAACTGTAATTAACTGAACAATTTCTGGTAGTTTCTTTATTATTTTGTATTGTTAATATTGGCTTACTTTTACACACTGGCCTTAATTGATAATTACTTCACTTGAAATTGACGAAAAGCAAAATGAGACAACTGAACATGTTTGACTGGATGGCTATAATTTACTTCTATTTTCAATTAGTTAATTACGATATATCAAATTTGCACCACACATAAACAAATTAACGAACAAAAGCTGATTACACTGGAAGTTTAAATGAACTAAAGAAGCAACGTGCATACAAGCCTATTATCGACTAAGCAAAACTGTTTGAAGGAGCAACAAGCATTAAGCTGTCATTCGACCATACTAGGGGGCCACATTACCCTACCGTGAATATTTCCATAAACCAGCCGTTTTATTACACTGCAGATGTAGCGACAGTGACTGCACTGGTGCGGAAAAGCTTACTCTCCACCAATACCACATGTTAACGCCTATCTTTATAAAAACGAACAAAAATTAGTTCATTATCTTGAGGCTACAAGCGCGCCGCCATATTGAATTCACCCAGAATGCACTTCTCACGATAGGCGGAGAGGTTATTTTTAACCTTTTTAGTATCGGGCAATTCCTTACACACACAATTATATTACGTTTCTAAATTAAATTATGTGTCTTTTAATTTATTTTGGATTTCCGAAACAACATGACAATGAAATCGCACAACCATTCGTGAAAACTACAACAGTATAACGGAAGTTGTCACGTCCGAAACCTGTAGTGACGTTTGTTTGTGCAAGACAAAAACAGTGTGAACACACGTAATGTATGTTGTATTTTTGGAAGAGAACTGGCTGAACTTGAAGATTGGTCGATTCAACCAACGCGTTCGGGTTGAAAGAACGCGAGTCCCCGTTGTGTATTCGCTGAACGGAGAGAAAAAGGAGTTCGACACCAGCGGATGGACGGAGCGAGTCGGGAACAAAACAAACAGTGCACTCTGCATGACCACGCTCGACTGGCTGAATCATTCCCACACTAGCCGACTACTTCACACTCGCCGCGGGGCCATTTGATTGTGTACGGTTGGCGTATCACAACAATAACATTAACGGAATATTCCTCGGGGAGATTTTGAGCGTTACGTCACAAGCTATCGTAAGTTGCCACGCTAAAGTAGCTTGTAGCTAGGCTGACTTGGAGTTTTCGAGTCGGTAGCTGAAGAATGTAGCCACGCTTTTGAAGGTCTTCGTTTTGCACGGTGACACATAGTAGGTCTTTCTTCAGTGAGTTGAACGACTGAGTGGAGAATGTGAAGCACAACCATGGCCAACTTGGAAGCCTACCGGGAGTATCAGAGGATTGAGGACCTGGAGGAGGACTCTCCACCCGGGGAGGAGGACTTGCTGCTCCATGTGCCTGAAGGCCTGAAAGGTAAACAAACTAAATAAAGTGGCGTACCAGTTTTAAAAATCTCGCAGCGATGCCCTTTCCTTATCCTCTCATCATTTTCCCGACATTTGTGTTGCAGATTCATGGCACCACATCAAGAACTTGGATAACTTCTTCACTCGAATATCCTGGTCTGTTTTTCTGTGACGTGTGCTATTGCATTGAGCCTTATGGACGCAGATTTACTAGTTAAGTCAGTGGAACCCCAAAGTGCAACAGAATCATTCTGTGATGCCGGATGGCTTAAGATCTTCTAAAAATAAAAAAAATCAATAAAGGAGACCTAACTGTCACCTTGATAGATAGATCAAGTATCAAGTACAACTTTATTGTCAATTGTGCTGTACAGCACGGATGAAATTTCCTCCCTCTTAAACAGACAACAGACAACAACAGGAGCTGCTGCGGGTGCCTGCGCCGCCATCAAAAGAACACTTAATATAAAATGACAAAATAATACAACACAACCCATAAAACAGACAGTCGTGCCATCTTAACCACTTTTCCTCCATTCACTTTGTTGTTTGAAGCAGTAATAGATGAAAGAGAAGTGAATCAAAGTGTCCTTTTCACCAGTGGATCAAAGACGTCATGCTGGAATATGCACAAATCTGCTACAAGCTAAGCTAGATAGATAGATAATATTACAAATATGAAATTAAATGGATCTTTACATGCCAATTTTTAATTAAATAAAATAGAGGTCAACATTTCATTGCAGTCTGAAAGTCTAGAATGAGATGATCACTGTGCAAAATGTTGACACTACAGAGTTTGTGGGGAGTGACATGGCATGGAGGAGGGAGGATTTCGTTTATCAGTGGAGAAGAGCAATGACAGCTGCCTGTCACTGAAGCTGCTTTTTTGCCTGCAGGTAGTGCTCTGCAGTGGATGCTGTTGGATTGTCCATGATGCACAGAAACTAGTTACAGAGCAGCCAGACTCATTATTGTAGCCCATTCCGTGGCCCATTTTTTCACACATTTCCTCAGTGACTATCCCAATGTTAGCCGTGATGAGCTCCAAGATTTTTTAAGCATCTATTTCCCAGAACTATGGTTATACTCCAAAAAAATTTAACCTCTGTATGGAGCTTCATATTTGTTTTTTTCCCCTTGAAGTTATACTTCTCAGATGAATGTGCCATGTTTTCCCTTAACCTGTGCGTCCACATCTATCATTTTCATCAAAAGAATGGCTTCGCCTGCATGATGCTGTCAGAGTTCTTTGAACTTGTGTGAGTATGATATATTATAAATATTTGTGCATTCCAACAGGATGCGTTGTGTATGTTCAGATAGATGCTGCTGGTTGCTTTTGTGTTCATCACGGTTAAATATGCCCCCAGGCTTCAACATGAACTCCGTCACCTGGATGAATTCAACACTTTCAATCATTGTTAAATATTTGACACAAGCAGAACTAAAAATGCTTGGATTTATGTTGACTTTTCCAATCTATTTCAATCATACACAGCACTTGACCTCCTCTCACTTATTGTTTATTTTCCATTCCGGCTGTCTGAGACTTTTTCTGTGCTCGACCAGTGGGGGCATGTCTATTTTTAGGTGTTGTTGGGCTGTTTGTCTGAATGTGGCCACGGGTCGCGTTAATACATGGCGTTATGAACTAATAACTGTACAGTGACAGCCATAATGACTCATGATATTTAATACAGCACTGACTGTTACACTTGATTACCCCAACAACGCGTGTTGAGTTCAGATTCTCAAATCAATATTTGTCATCTACACTGATGGTATTTCTCCATCTATTTTTACCCATATCTTTGTGCTGTATTGAATGGTATTGACATAAGTGGGGGGGTGGACAAATTTGGTCGACAATGTTTAGCCTTCGGAGTCACCTCGTTTAATGATGTCAACAAGAGGAGACACGGTTCTCCTTCTTTGGATTTTTTTAGGGGAAAAAGCACAGGCAGATCGATGCCAAGTCTTGTGGTATTGAAGCTTTAAGTGTTCTTTTGTTTGTGCTCAACAGTCAGTTTTTGTTCGTCGTCACGTTCACGACGTTCTTGGTCAACTGTGTGGAATATGATGTCCTGTTCGCCAACCGTGCTGTCAATCACACGGGGCCGGGCCACAACCCGTTGGACAGAAGCAAGGTCACCATCCCCGATGCCCTTTTGCCCAGCCAGCAGTGCACTCAGATGTAAGAACCCATTTGTTCCACTTCATCTGCCATATTTTAGGACATTTTAAAGATGAATATTCTTGACTTTCATCAGTTGCCCATACTTTTGAATTAATAGTTATTCTAGCAAAGTTCTCCATTCTCTATTCTTGTTAACAATACAACATGATGTTTTGTTTAGTCAAGAAAATATGACTCTCCTCTTGGACTAGAACAACATTTAACCTGAAAAAAGTCAGAATTTGTTTTCAAAGTCTTAAAACCGTGAATGCTTTTGTGGTGCATTTTCAAATTGTTGGGTACATTGTTGTCATCAGTAACTACACATTTCTAGTTTTAAACAGACTCAGACTTATAGTGAATACAAAAATTGAACTAGTCATGCTTTGTTAAACAACTTTTATTTAAGATAACGCAGGGTGTTGTGAGCAAGCCCGCGCCCTTCGTAGAGGAGAAGCGGTTCAGATAATGGGTGGATGGAAGTTATCATAAACACCACGAGGATGTCCACAGTGTGGTCTTTGAAACTCATTTATTTCTGTCTTTTAAAGTCATTTTGTTCGAAGGAGATTGTTCCCTTTATTTTAGTACCTTGTGATTGGTTTTCCTGTTGCGGCATTTAAGCGGTGATGACACTGTGAAGTTGTTGTGTTGCACGTTCAGTAATTGATCCGTCTCAGTGAGGTAAAAGTGGTCAGCCGAGATGCATTTTGGCTGCAGCTGACTGCCACATGAGACTTTGCTGGCAGGCTGTGAGGAACAAGCTCCGTCCGATGTTATCATATTTTTCCTCCACAGTAGTCTTGCTTGTGCTTATTTTCAACAGATTACACAAAGATCTAAAAAAAAAAAAAGTCACGCAAAACTTCTTGGAACTCTTTGTGAGATCTTCTTGTTCCTTCTCTGATATCCCAATGACGCTTTCTTAAGTTGCATAATCATAGTTGTGTCAGGATAAGATATGTAAATAGATGTTTGGCTCGTTGTCGCTGAAGTGCAGGTCATTTTTCTTTCGCAAAATCATAAAACAAGGATTTGTGACGACCACTGCCCAGGACTTGCCAAGTTAAATTCAAATATTCAAATGATAAAGCCGCAAGGGCTGAAATTGACTGTTTGGCTGTGTGACAATGTCATTTTTTGTGATGCATATTTAATGATGATATATTGATATGCACCTGCTAGTTTCCGCTTAGGGTCATTTGTGCATTTTAAGGTTTGGTTCTTAAAATTCAGACATCCCCTTTGAAACATTATGACTTATTATTTGAGAAATTAGAATTTTCTTAATATATTCTGCTGGCAATATGATATTTTCCCGAGACAATTAGTATTTTTCACCATAACACTAGGACTCATAATACAACTTACTTCTTATAATGTTACATTATTTGTACATGAAAAGTTATTTTTCTCTGAGCATTACTGTTTCATTCTTATAAAATTGTGTGTGTGGGTGGGGGGTACACTAAAAATGACTATTTTATCACAAACATTTATGACTTTTTGCTCAACCTTACGATCCTTTTTTGTAACATTACAACCTTATCCAAAAAGATGACTTCCCCCATGGTGACACTGTTATTCCCGTAACATTATGACTTTTTCTCGTATGCAATGTTACTCTTGTAAAACTACGACTTTTATTTAAAAAATAATCTTGTTACAACTCATTCTCATAGCATGGTAACCTTTTACTTGAAAAACCTGTTTTTTTTCCCTCCTCCATCCGTTTTAGGAATATTCTTGTAGCATTATGATTTTCCACTCAAATTAATGACCCTCCCAAGATTGCTAACTTTCCAACATTATTCTGCCTGCCACTTGGAAACATATAGCTAAGATTATGCATGATCTGTAAGATGTCTTTTTTTGTTTTGTATGTCTTAATGTCTACCTTCAGCATCCAAGAGAACAGTTGGATCATATTTCTTCTCATCATGGCAGCCATCTTCTGGCTCTATCGACTCATCAAGGTCATTTGCAACGTCCTGAGCTACTGGGAAATCCGGCAGTTCTACATTAAAGCGCTGAAGATCAGAATGGTACACATGGATTCATGAGTTGAGATTTTATAGGAGACATTATGCTGTTTCTTCACAATTTCAAACAACTCCCAATTGACAATGTTCGTGACATGATTCTGTCAAAATAACCCAAGGAGCAAGAATTATCCTACACTTTACACATTCACATTACACACATCTCTTTTGAAGACAGTAAAAGCATTTCAACTTTTATGTTGTTGTATCCACTCCTCCTAGTTTGCACATTTGCTAATGTGCAAATTTGAATCCTCTGCTTCATTGTCCCAGGATGAACTATGCAACTTCACATGGCAGGAAGTCCAGGACCGTCTCATCAGCCTGCAGCGAGAGCAGCAAATGTGCATCCACAAGAAAGAGCTGACAGAACTGGACATCTATCACCGCATCCTGCGCTTCAAGAACTACATGGTGGCCATGATCAACAAATCCCTGCTTCCCGTGCGAATACAGCTCCCCCTCGTGGGCGACGTGGTCTTCCTCACGCAGGGCTTAAAGTACAACTTTGAGCTCATCCTCTTCTGGGGCCCGGGCTCGCTGTTCCAGAACAAGTGGAACCTGCACCCCAAGTACAAGCGCAGCGGCAATCGGCTGGAGCTGGCGCAACAACTCAGTAGGGTCATCCTGCTCATGGGCGTGGCCAATCTGCTGCTATGTCCCTTTATTCTGGTGTGGCAGGTGCTCTACGCATTCTTCAGTTACACAGAGATCGTCCGCCGCGAGCCCGGGAGTCTGGGCGCACGTCGCTGGTCTCTCTACGGAAGACTGTACCTGCGCCACTTCAATGAGCTGAACCACGAGCTGCACGGACGCTTGGGCCGAGGCTACAAGCCCACGTCCAAATACATGAACTCTTTCACGTCGCCGCTGCTCACAGTTCTGGCTAAAAATGTCGCCTTCTTCTCGGGCTCGGTATTGGCCGTGCTCATTGTGCTGACTGTCTACGACGAAGACGTCCTGACGGTGCAACACATTCTGACTGGCATCACAGTGCTTGGGGTGGTTATCACCATCACCAGGTGGGTTGTTGAATCCTTGTGTCTAATGTTTCTGCGTACACATTAGTAAACACCAAAATTTGTTTTGTCCGACACAAGGTCCTTCATCCCAGACGAGCATATGGTTTGGTGCCCAGAACAGCTGTTGCAGTGCATGCTGGCCCACATCCACTATATGCCGGACCACTGGAGGGGAAGTGCTAACAAGAGCGAAACCCGTGACGAGGTGGCACAGCTGTTCCAGTACAAAGCGGTGAGTTCAGGAAACCTCGCTGGTTTAGTGCAGCCTTGTCACACTTTTATTCAATTTAGGATGATTTTTTTTTTTAATAAGGGTTGTCGGGTGATTCTGATCACTCGGCATACATAGGTTTTGTTTCTTGCAATGTAGTGTATCACCAAACGACGACGACACCACAATCGAGTCATATTTGGAGTAAAAATGTCAAACTGTTAAAAATGCACTAAGATATCAATACAAAACAATCAAATGACAATGCTCGTGTAATGTTATCATTTCACTCATTCCAAAGTTGTTGGCAGCCATCTATCTCATGTACTGTTTTTAAACACACTAAACCGTTCTCTGCTGGCATCAGGTGTTCATCCTGGAGGAGCTGCTCAGTCCTATCATTACGCCCTTCATTCTCATCTTCCTGCTGAGGAACAAGTCTCTCGAGATCATCGACTTCTTCAGGAACTTTACAGTGGAGGTGATTGGTGTGGGAGACATCTGCTCCTTTGCACAGATGGACATCAGACGCCACGGGAATCCAACTGTAAGCAGGACTCAAGCAGTACACACATACAGAAAATTAATTTGGCAAAGTTGAGCTTTTTTTTCCCCACCAGTTATTTGAGCAAAGTTTGAACTACCTATCTAAACTATATTATTTTAGTTTTTATAACTTTATTGGTTGAGTATTTTGGGTACTACCATCTTTAATATACTTCTCCTCTTTGCTGCTTTGTGAAAAGTTGTCACCTTATTTTTTTTAAATGTGTCCAGCCTGTAGTTGGTTGATGACTGTGTCACAAGGGAGGCAGCATTGCCTGCTGTGTTTGGGCGCAGTGCTTTTGGCATGAATAACAGTGCATGACTTCCTCAGTATGTCTGAGCCAGGTAAATTTATTTACCTCAGCTTGTGAAAGACCCTGGCTCATGTGTTTTTTTCTTTTTGATGAGATGGAAAGAGGAATCAAAGAATAAGGTTTCAATCATGTACACTTTGCATTGTTATGTTCCTAATTGGAAACGGATTTATGTAGCTTCGCCTCGGCGACTCATTCAGTCCGACATTCCGACCCTCGGTATCACCAGTGTTTCAGACCAAATTTCCACCTGTTGTCACCACCATGAATTATTACATTTTAGCTGGCTGTTGCGTTAATTTCTCTGCTCTGTTTCACCAAGGCATGACTTTCCTCCTCGCGAGGCTTGCTGATTGCTGATTTTCCCTGCCATATATGCAACGCTAAAAATCAAACGTTACTTTGAAGTGAAAGGAAACTTTTATTTTAATATACACGACATGCTTGGATGTGACTGCAAAGTAATGGTAGGTGAGAGTGTAGCCAGACAGGATAGTTTGGTGGTGTGTAGAATGACTCTGGTGGTAAGGAAGATGATGAGAGCAAAAGCAGAGCAGAGGACAAAATGGTGGAAGCTGAAAATGGAAGAGTCTTGCATGACTTTTAGGAAGGAGTTGAGACACGCACTGGGCAGTCATGGATGTGCTTCCAGATGACTGGACAACTACAGCTAATGTGATCAGGGACACAAGTAGGAAAGTACTTGGTGTATCATCTGGAAGGAAAGTAGATAAGGAGACCTGGTGGTGGAATGATATGATTTGATCTGTTTCTTCTTCGGTAGTTGCTTTCCTGTGCACTGCTACTGATATAATGCATCGCTCGTGGCGGAACACTGCAACTGCAGTTAAAATATGAAGCTGCTGCAGAGGGACATCAATCCCTCAATCAGCAGAATTGGCGCTTTACGCTGTGTTGAGCAATATCAATCGGTTTGGCTGGGGGTGGCACAAAATCAACTGGAGGCGGCCACCACAGGAAAAACCCTGCGGGCAATTATGTTCTTTTTTTTTTTCTTTCCCAAAGGAGCTACTATTTGTGCTTAGTGTTTGTATTACAAGTCTCATAAGTCATTCACCACAAATGACAAGGAGTAGACCAGATAAACAAACAAGCAGTCGAGCTTCTATTACTTCTTTAATTATTTCTCTTATCATTGTATTTTCCGTCAGTGTGGTTGTGCTGTGTTACCATGCTGCCTCTTACTGGTCTGCCTTGATATTACAAGTCTAAGCTTTCAGGGAGGAGTCTTGTTGATGGACAAATTTGCTAAGCGTGTTATTTTGAGTACACCACGAATTGTAAGAGCATTAAGCACACATGATTACCGGTATTTTTTTCCCTGCCATGTGTTAGGATGTTAAAAAGCAGTATGTGTGTCCACACAGTTCATTACCCCTCCACACAGTCTACACACACAGCTACTAATGAAATATTTTAACATGTCTGATGGTTTTGCAGTGGCTGTCCGAGGGCCAGACGGAGGCGTCGGTGTACCAGCAGGCCGAGAACGGCAAGACGGAGTTGTCACTCATGCACTTCACCATTAAGAATCCACACTGGCAGCCACCGCTGGATAGCTCGGTGTTCATCAGCCACCTGAAGGAGAAGGTGCAACATGACGCGCAAGGCGGTCCTTCCACGCAGCTCCTGCTTTCTGAGGCTCCTCTGTGTACCTCTCTGCAGTCCAACGAGTCTGCTACCGGGGTGAAAAATCCTGCAGACAAACCCAGTCCAGTTCTGTGAAGCTGTTATAAATTATTTCACCACATCGCTGTTTTTGTTCCCAGCCTGAAAATCTGCTGGCCAGCGTCCTGGCGCACCCCGTTCTCACCGCGTCAGGACTACAAGGCAGAGATCACCGCTTTATCCCACCAAGTACGGCAGCATCAGCCGCCGCCAGTGTCCTGGCCTCTTTGTCCACTTCCCAGCTGCTGCACACTGGGCGGGGACACGCGCAACGCAACCAAGCTTCCTCAATACATCAAGAGAGCACCATCTACCACAGTGATCGAACCACTCTCGACAGGTACAAAACAGACCTCAAACATTGCGTGATGTATAAAAGAAATTACATTATTCTGATTGAGTTTGTTTAGTTCAAAGGACAGTAACAAGAGTTAAAATATAGCCTTGGGCATGTTCACATTCACAAGACTAGAAGACTTGCTCTGTAAGAAAGTGCATGTAGAACAAGTCATTCTTAGCCACGGCTGCTACATTGCCATCACGACTTACTCTTGATGCGGTGTTATTGTTATTTTGGAACTGGTTCAAATCCCAGAGCAGATTAAATTCACCCCGATGGATTCCCACTGGATATGAATTGAGGGTGTGTGCAAAGCCTTACAGGCTAATTTTACTTTATAAACCCAAACGCTCACCAACTTAAAGCGAACGGCAATCCAATCCCAGCATATTTTTACTCACAGAGGAAGCATTTCATCAGCAAGCTGTTGAATTGCACTTGTCAAAAAGTGCAGTGGTGTGGCGCATGACGTGACCCAACACAAATACCTCCCCCTCCCATGTTGACAATTTTGTTGAGTGAGTGTGTGCTGATTATCAGAAGCTCATGTTGGCAACACTGTTAGACGCACGCCAGCTCTGGTTACCTTTTCTCTTCGAAATTCTGCACTCCAACCGTAGCTTGACAATGGCAGCTCTAGGAGCCCAGCTATACGCTAATTGATGGAGAAACTTGGTGAAGCTATAGTTATTATGTAACTAGCCCCACTGCCATGTAACAGTGTGGCAGAAGTGCGGAATGTCTCTCTCGCAGATATGACGTGCCTGCTGATCTGCAGATAACTCCAGATTTATTTGGTGGTTGAATTACACTTGATGGCTGGGCAGACACACATGTTATATGATCGTTGAAAGGCAATTAAAAAAATGAATGCTCCACATTTGATATGTTTTGTGTTTCTATTAGTATGTCATTCAGTGATAGCCGTTTAAGGAGCAATGCGCTGCACTCGGAGTTTGCCTCAGCAGAGATGAGCCTTCATGCTATCTACCTGCACGAGGTAATTTTTCTCTTGGGTGCCCAATGCTCCAATTCACTTACACAAGGGCACTTGCTCGCCTTTTACTGACACCGATCTGTCTCTTCAGCTCCACCAGCAGACGTCGCACCCGCAGAGAAGTTCAGGGCTTTGGCATAGCACGGTGCCAATGACTGAGCTACATGGCAACACTGGTAATTTCAACACTGGTCAGGTGTTAGATTGCAAATGAGCAGAGCAACGAAGGGCCTTAAATAGGAAGTTGTGTATAGAGCAAAATCTTGAAAATGTTGGTTGAACTCTGGAAATTTCTTCTCGGATATTTCTTGAGGTGTTCACTCTATTGAGACATAAAGTGAAAAAGTCTTACAGGCATGTTGTAGGATTTTGCAATAGAGAGCAAAAATACAAGAGATATTTTTGTAGTTGGTGTGTTGATTCAAACTCAAAATTTTCAGGTTTCCTCGCCCACGTTGGTTCTACGCCGTCTTTGGTCACACCGGTGCATCTTGGTGGGTGGCGAGAAGAAGAGGAGGATGAGGAAGGTGAAGAAGAGATAAATAATGGATCTACCTTGAAACAGGACACCAGGACTCTTTGAAGTGCCTTATGACATAAGGTGTGTGCTCTATTTTTAACCATGTAGGTTCGTGAACAAGTACATAAAAGATTTGCTTCTAATTTGTTAAAAGTTTATGTGGTGCAGTAATGAGAAGACCCCAATTACAAGAGAAAAAAAACCCACGCAGGCAGGGGCAGAAAATGCAAATGTCATACAGGAAGGCTGGCTCCCAGATTCAAACGCTGGACCTTTGCACTGTGAGGCAGACGTGCTAATCGCTCACCGTGCCGCCCTCAGTACTGCATTGAAACATAAAAAAAACATGACTGATAATCTCAATAAGTAAGTTAAAAAACATGGCTGACAATGGTAAACAAAAAAATGACTAGCATTAACATGACGTTGATTAAGAAAAACATTGTCAGTTGTAAAAAGTAGCCTTGCAAGCAAACAAAAAACATGACTTAGAACAGTAAACAAAACATAGCGATGATCACAATAAATAAACAAAAAGCACGGCTGATTATAAACACAAATTTTGCTGACACTGTAAATGATAGAATATGTCTGACTTTACTTGACCAAATACTGGCAAATAATTGTAACAAGGAAACTAAAAAAATTCAAAAAAAAGTGGTTTGTAGTCTTTTATTTGATCTCTGTCAACTACTGTTGTATGACGTCAGAACAGCAGGAATATTTGATGGTCACATTTCCTAGTTTTATCGAATACAACACGGGTCCATATTTTTAAAGCCAGTCAATAATGTTCGAGGGGCCTTAGTGGTCTTTTCCCTAAGACATTCAAATATCTTAACGCTGCTCCCTGTTTTTTCCCTTCTAGTGTTTACATTTGACTTTTCACCAATGAACATTGTGGCCTTAGAAGACCTTCAGCACGGACCTTTAAATCCATCCTTTTGACACGTGGACAAAACACATGAAGAAACCACTATCTTCTTCTGCACAGACATCAGGGAAGCATATATGTTTTCATTTTGTCCAGATGAACCATTTGCGTGCGTGCGTCTGTGTGTGTGTGTGTGTGTGTGTGTGTGTGTGTGTGTGTGTGTGTGTGTGTGTGTGTGTGTGTGTGTGTGTGTTCGCGCGCGGCCAGGCAAACGATATGGTGTACTTACAAGACCACTGATGGGAAAATGCCAAAGGCTCTATATGCACAATTCAAGTGTTTGTAGTGCACATCACAAGCATCTAGCGTAGTGTTTGGCTACATTATTGCCACATGGGAGGATCATAGCGATTAGATCCTTGCGATGTGTAGAAAATGCATGCATGTAAGTAGAATAGCACACATAACTGCTTCAAAGAGTATGTGGCTGACGGACTTGATCAGGATTTTGATGCTGCTGTCTGTGTTGGGTTCACTTGCAGATGTTGTTCAGTATTATCAACTCTTTTGGAAGATATTTATTTAGTAACAGGAGGACGGACAAAATGGGATCCAAATCCATTACAGGAAGTGGAGGTTTTCTGTGCTGTACTAAACCTGTGGCAATATCCCAGAAAGACCACTTGAGTGGTCATGTGTGGCCCCTCCCTGGTTTTATTGCGCAAAAGTTGTTCACAAAGTGAGCACTGATTTCAAACTCTATCCAAGCATCTACAGGTATTTTCGATACTGCTCATAAGAGTCGTGGGTGACCTTGGGGCCTATCCCTGCTGACCTTTGGGCCGGTGGCAGAGTGCATCCTGGGCATCACAAGGCACATGTAGACCAATAAGCATTCACCCATGCGCTCACACCCATTGACAATTTTAATAAAATTTTAATAAATAAACCCAACACGGACACTTTTGGAGTGTGGAGGAAGCTGAAGCTTCAGTGCCAGAAGAAAATCTGTGCAAGTACAGGGAGAACACAAAATTCCTCACAACAAGCCCAGGATTTGAACCCTCAACTACAGAACAGTGAGGCATATGTGCTTAACCACTAATATATCGTGCCACCATCCAACATTTATCATGATGAAAATAGATTTTTTAACACGAGGGTTGCTTTTACATAACCTGTTGATGCAAAAGCAGTGGAAATTTTCTGGGGATTTTTTGTTTTGTTTTTTATTAGAGTTTCTGTCTTTAAACTGTCATGAAGGCATTTTATGTAAAAACGATTTTTAATTCATTTAGTATTTTAGTCAATTTCATTCAGTGAACCACAGAAAACATGCATGCTACATAGAATAGACATATTCCCTGTATGCAACATTTATTCTCCATCAATTCTTGTTCATTTTCATGGAAAATTCCCGAGAATTTATTAATTCTTTTTCTATATGACCACAGTTTTTGCCTCAGTTGGCCTCATCAAAAGAAGGCATATATAAATGTTGTAATGGATAAGCATTATTTATTTTCAGAAAATATTTTTCAATTTCTCTGTCAAATTGCTTCCTCTCGTGACTAATACTTAACAGACATTGGTGTGCTCATATTGTGAGTAGCCGAAAAGAAAGATCACGATGGGGTAGTTTAACCTGAGAGATTATGTATATGTAAACACACACGCACACACACACACGCATATCAAAAAGGCATATGTAGACTACACACCATTGCATTATGGCTTTGATTAGTTTTGAACACACAGAAGTTTAGTAGCTCAAATCACAAACGCTAAACATGTTGGCATCTTTATCTGTTTGAGGAAGAGCAAATGCTTCATGATGCTAACATGTCAGTATTTTGCACTGATGTATATTTACATATAAATATAATAAGCAGAGTTTTAAGTGTACATACATGTATGCACAGCACATGCAACACAGCTCAGAAAGGGACCTGAGCCACCACCTCTGTTTGTATAAAACGACTCATTTTGTATCGGCCATGTTGATGATATATTGACTGTTTGCTTTACATTTGTGTGTGTGTGTGTGTGTGTGTGTGTGTGTGTGTGTGTGTGTGTGTGTGTGTGTGTGTGTGTGTGTTGCATCTTAGAAATCCACCTTGTAAAAGACACTGTAGTTGTTTTAATTGCTGTCACACCTCACTGCTGGTGTGCTCCTTTTTGTTTGAAGCAGTGCCTTAGCATTAAGGACTCATACTTGCTTTCTGGTCATATAGGATTTGCATCATTAACGGTAAATATTCTACAGTATTGTGCTCTTAGTCACTCTGCATAACATCAAGGTGAAATACTGTATTTGCTCAGAAAGTGGCCCCAATTAAGACAGATAATTGCTTCTCCTCAAATGAAAGCCATGCCACATGTAGTTGGCCAGTGCGGGATCCACTTGAGAAAAAGAAATGCCTCCTTTAAATTGACACTGTGCCCCAATGTGTTGACAGTTGCATAATCCACCAAAGAAATATAAACAACATACTTCAATTGACAGTGTAATCCAATCAATGAAGAAAAAAATAAACATCTCCCTCAAGTAGACACTGCAACTCAAATAGCAGGCAGTCTATCATCCACTTCTGACACAAAAAAAAAAAAAAAATTGGTGCAATACCATATGTTGACCAATGCAGCATCCACTTAGAGCAAAAATTCTACCAACAAATAGGCGCCATCCACCAATTTTTGGCCCAGTGCATCATCCAGTGAGACATATAGCCACCTCCTTCAAATAAGACTAATAAGACTTCCTCAAATCGACACTGTGCCCCTGGTAGTTGCTATATCTAGCATCTGCTTCAGACAAAGAAACTCTTCCCTAAAATAAACACCATGACTCAATTCATCCATATAAACTCCTCCCTCAAATAGACGCCAAGGCCAAAATAGTAATTGGTGTGTCATCCACTTAGTAAAATAAACACCTCCTTCATAGACACCGTGCCCCAATTAGTCAGTGGGTGCTTCATCCACTTAAAACAATGAAGGCTTCCCTCAAATAAACACTGTGCCCCATTTAGTCAGCGGGTGCATCATCCACTTGTGTAAATAATTGCCCCACGGCCACTTTTTGTGTAAATACTGTTGACTATAATCAATGTGGCTTTCAAGAACTGCAACGGGACTGACAACATACATATTTAACTTATTTATGCTGTCTGAATTTGCACTGTCCTGTCATCTACTGGCATCAAGGTCATCGCCGTGGACAACCTCACAGAAACACGCCAGTCGGATATAACAATGACTGGGACAAGGTGCTCTATGTTTTCATGCTAAAATACTCCATGGGTTATGCAGCATGGTGTTTTTAATAGCAGCTGACTAATGCAACGCGCCAAGAGAACTTTTTCGACAGTGTCACAATATATGTTTTGTGTGTCTGGCAGATGAATCTTATTTAATCTTTTTTTTTTTTGGAGTGTGTGTTATTGATTCTGTGACTGTCCATTTGAAATAAAACATTTCCAAGGTTGTGATTGAACACTTGATGTGATATCTTCTATTGGTGCACTAAAGCTCTTTAATTACTGACTCTGTTGCATAGAATTTTACATTCTATTAAAAAATATTTTACATGACCACCAATGAAGCAATTAAAAAAAAACAACCAGATGCTAAACAAATAACCTTAAAACCAAAACAAATACAGTATGTCCAGCTTTTTTTTTCCACACAGGCCTTTAAATGTCCAATACCTACACGTTAGCATTAACTAAAAAAAAAATACATTCCAAAATGTTTACAAAATAAATGACCTTCAGGTTTAAATACAGCTTTCATGACTAATATCACTCTTGTCATTTGTTCCAGGTGCATCATGGCGAAGTATATGCCACCAACTGTTCATTGTGTGCAATGCTGTGTCATACTTTGGACAGTTTAAATGTAGGATATTTTTACATTCCAACAATCCGATCATCGAATAATGCAGAAAAAGGAAGGGGCCCAAGATACAATTTCAAACTAAATCATGTACTGCAAATGTGCGGCATAAATGGAGGATTGTGAACACCTTTCCAAACACAGAAACCAACTGAATAAAATGCAGTACAGGCATACTTGGTCTCTGCTAGAATTTTGAGTCAGGGGCCTAGTCATGTGAAGGTCCAGACGACTTTGCTGCTGTCAATCACTGGTCAAAGGGGGAAGCAAATACAGGTTTGCTCCACACTGCAAAAATGTGATTACGCACTCAGGTATAGTCATGTTTTGAATGTCATTCATGCTTTGTGATCTGTTTGCTGTTTTAGGTGTGGTGATCTTTCAGATCTTCACAACAATTCAATCATCATGTGGCCGAGCAACTGTCGTGTGGATCAGTCAAAGCGATGGGCCATGCAATGGAATGAGTCACTTCCATCCACAGGTGGATCAGGGGGCTCAAGGGCTCCAAATACGTGTGCTCAAGGGGAAATTGACATGTAGTTATCCAACTAGTCTATTGAAGTTGGACTACTAGTTGGACAAAGCGCAATATTGAATAAACGCTCAAACGGCATTTCATATCACAAATGTTTCAAAGTTGCGTGCAGATCCCTCTCAATACTCCTCAGTGGGCATGAATAACATGCTAATCCCTATTTAAGGACTAACTTCCCAGTGTAATATGGTCCAAGGGAGTCCTAAAAATATAGACTTGAATATCTTTCTGGATCCATTCAGCTTTCACCCTAAGGCAGAGAGAGAGATTTATGTATTCATATAGAAGATAGACTGGTTAGCGTGTCAGCCTCACAGTGCAGAGGTACGGGGTTCGATTTCAGCTCCGCCCTTTCTGTGTAGAGTTTGCATGTTCTTCCCGTGCCCGCGTGGTTTTTCTCCGGATACTCCATTTTCCTCCCACATTCCCCCAAAAAACATGCGTGGCAGGTTAATGGAACACTCCAAATTGTCCCTAGGTGTGATTGTGAGCGTGGATGGTTTTTCGTCTCTGTGTGCCCTGCGAATGACTGGCCATGGGTTCAGGGTGTCCCCCACCTAATGCCCGAAGACAGCTGGGATAATCTTCGACACACCCCACCACCCTTGTGAGGATAAGCGGATTAGAAAATGGATGAATGGATATTTCGACACTGTAGATACACACATACAGGTGCTCATTAAAAAAAAATTGAGTATCACAAAAAAGTTGATTTATTTCAGTCATACGACTCAAAAAGTGAAACAGGTATGCATTACACAACTTTGACTTTTTGAATAGTATTACTGAAATAAATCAACTTTTTCATTACATGCTATTTTTAAAAAACATTTTATTTTTTGACGAACACCTGTATACGGTACCTCGGAATTACTAATTACTGCAATGTAAACCAAATTGCGCATCGAGAGTCAATCACTAACCTGTGCTAATACAGCTGTGAAGTCATGATTACAGTACCTAAATATTTGTATGTGAAAGGCTTCCTGGCCATAAGTGCAATGCAATACATTTTTATTTGTATAGCGCTTTTACATCAGCTCCAGCTGTAACCAAAATGAAAACGTCAGTATGGTAGTAACTGAGCCTTCTTGTGCCACTGTGCAGCTATTTGATTGCACGCCATTCATAACCTCGTAAATTGGGAATGTCCTAAACTGAGAAACTATTGTACTCCTCAGTAGCCATTAAAAATATGCTACGGCCATGTGTCATCCCAGTGTAACATGGTCCTGACGAGGCCTAAAAATATCGGTCTTCAGGGTTCATTTGCATTTGTCCAGCACTGTAATAGTTTATTCGGTGATGTGGACTTGTATTACAAATCATATACACGATGAGCAAGTGTTATTATTTGCGCCGTGACCTGATGAACGGAAGATGATGGATGAATGGATGGATAATTACCGGTATATGTAATAAAATGGGATGCTTGAGCTATCGCTCTTCTCTGTCCATATTTGTATCCAGAGCAAAGATGGCATGGAAGAGCAGAGCAAAATCTCTTCCTATACTGCCACAGTGAATGCCTTTCAAATCAGAATCCAACCCAAATTTTCTGGAGTTCCCTTAAAAATGTACAACATGTATCACACAAGACCTGACGTCATTGATCACACGCACTTGGCTATTATTTTGTCTTAGTGTCTGGTTAAATATTGAGTATTATTGATACTGTGGATTATTTCCACTTTTATTAGTTCCCATGGAGATGAGCTTTTTCCTCATTCCAACAAATGGACCTAAAAGGTTCTTTTATAGTTGCATGGCTGCCACTTTGCTAACAATGCAGCCAGTCAGATTGCTGCCATTAGGTGAGCATGTTTGCATAGCGCCGAGCTATGATGTGCTCCAGTGCTTTTACAGTTGGCCTTGGTTTGTGATGGACTTTCATTCCCATGGCGACATAAGCAAAAAGTCGCAATATGTAGTCTCACATGAACCGATGCGTACACAGTAGTGAAGTCATGATTACAGTTGCTATTCGTATGAAAATAAGGAACAGTTACCAAGAGTACCTTCTCATAATTTTGAATATGACCCCCGATATTATGAATTGGAAGCATGCATTCTGAAGCTTTCAATTTTCTAAGACTTGTTTTTAATGTGTGCACAATGATAAGTGGTAGTGTACAATCTGCCCTGCAGCAGAAAGCAACCACCGTGTGAGTGACGATATGGTATCTGCACACTAAATGACAAGAGTCTATTTTGGAAAGGAGGCTGCGCCAAAATAGGCATGCCAGCTATCTGCCAGCATCATGTTGGACCTACACGGGACAAGAAAGAAAAAATAAGTCGAGTCAAGCGCGCACCACAGTGCACTGGGGGATGCTGCAGCACTCTGAATTTCCAACCATATTAAGGATATTTAATTTCAGAGAAGACATTTTTGGCGGTTGGAATTTTTGAGCCTTCCATGACTGACTGATCTGGCAAAGAAGAGTCAAGGTGATTAACATAAGCTTAAATAACTAAAGTTTTGTATGCTTTGGGAGGACCTGGCTAACTTTACACAATTGTTGTACCTATACTTAAAAAAAAGTGTTGAACAGTTCGTTGTGTTTGCCAAGTTAGCTGGCTAGCATCAAGTTTCAATCAGGCTAGCTAAAATGGCCGCCATTTCACACCATTTCTATCATTTTGCTTAAGAACACATTTGAACAGTTCTTGCTGGCTTTCAAAGGCCTATTTACAAAGCCTGTATGGGTGGAAGTGAGGTGCGGTGGCGTCAGTGTCGGAGCCTTATCAAACAGCTGAAGCACCGTCGGCTTCTACAAATGGAAATGGAGCGAGACAGCCAGGGACAGCTGAGGTTATTTTCGTCCGGCCTCGGTTGAAGGGACAGAGGCGACAAAGCCGCTATATGTCACCCTTCACAAAAGGGGGAAACGCTCCGTTTTGACCTTGACGCCCTGGAACTCATTAGTTTGTGCGTATTAAAACGACTTACTGTTCTGTCGTGTATGGAGTAGAGCACAGGTTGCGTATGCATATTGATCAGTGTAATGACTGACGCTTGGAGTAAGTGCTCGTAAATGTGTCCGTCTTCACTTTGCATTTATGTCCATTTTCATAACACCCGTCAATATGTTACTCATCGGTCACAACAATAGGTACATCTGAAAATGATATCCAACATAACGGATTAGGGTTTTACAACGGAGTTCTGTTTTGATGAAGATGTAACCCAAACACATATGCAAGTAGTAATGCGCCATAATTTGTTGTCAACCTATACTAACGCAGTAGTGAAGTCAATTACAGCACATATTTGTTTGAAAATCACTTCTTAGGCTCTAAATATAACACAACGGAAAACAGTAAGAACCAGAGGCGATTGCTCTAAGACTGCAAGGGAAGCTCAGCTTCCCCTAAAATGTCAAAAAATAAGTGATAAAATATATGTGTGTACATACAATTGTGTGTACATGTCATTGACTAAATATGCGCTACAACGCGCTCAACTTTTGTTTCGAATCAGCTTCCTATTACTGCTCACGACGCAACTCTCTTCTCATTCACTCCCGCAGCTTCACTGTAGTGATGTGTCGTTCGCGAACGAGCCGGCTCTTAGAGCCGGCTCTTTGAAGTGAACGACATGAGCCGGCTCCTAAGAGGGAGCCGCTTTAATGGGAGCCGACTTTTTTTTTCCTCCTGTTTTTCCCCCCTTTCGGTTAACGCCGCACGTGATTGGTCAAGATCCGTGGGAGAAGAGGGAGGAGAGGGTTACACACGGCCGCGCACGCACACGCACGCGCACACACACACACACACACGCACGCACGCACACGCAGACACAGACACACGCGCGCGCTTCAGTGAAGAGAAGGGGGAGGAGTCAGAGACACAGCAGCACACTGTGAGCAGCACACGAACAGGAGAGACAGGGAGCGCAACAGTACATCGATAGCGC